CCGCTCCCTCTCCCTCCTCCTCCTCCTCCTCATTTCTCTGCCCCTGCCCATCCTGTTTGTGTTCCTCTTCCTTCTCCTGTTCCTCCGGATCATCTCATTCTCTCTCAGGCCTCAGAGTACGAGAAGCGAGCAGAAATGCTGAAGCTGGAACATGAGAACAGAGAGAAGATGAGCAAGGTGAGGAGGAGGAGGAGGAGGGAGGGAGGGAGGGAGGGAGGGAGGGAGGGAGGGAGGGAGGGAGGGAGGGAAGTCACACTTGCCGGCAGCTGGAGAGTAAGTTTCAGCGGGAGAAGCATGCGCTACGATCCTTCGTCTTTTCCACTGCAAAGAGCATGATAGCTCATCTCAACATGGAGAAGGTGAGGGTCGAGGAGGAGGATAATGATGGAGGAAGAGGAGGAGAGTTTCAAGTGACTTACGATGTTGTCAGGCGTTAAGGAACGTAAACCTTGAGGATTCATCGGATGAGGAGATGAGCGTCAACTGAGACAGAGAGGAGGAGGGTTCGCAGAAAGTTTGTATTTTGATGTGAGATGCATGTGAAGTTTATTTTTTGGGGATTTCCAAGATTTTCAACTGATCGCGAGTGATATCTGCATAGAGAGATATGTCGCTGTCTTTCAACTATTGACATGGGGCTGTCTTGTCTATCTAACATTTGTTGTGTTGCAATGAATAAGAGAGGAAGAGGTTTCGTGAAAAGCGTCGCCCTGGCTCGGATTATTATCTCTTCAGCTGCCAGATTCGCCCATCGTGAAAGACTTGCTCACTTCCCCAACCCACTGCCAACCTCCTCAACGTCGGGTGGTTGTCAAGAAGCCTTTTTGGAGGCCTCCTGGCAGGTTGTTGTGCTCCTATGGCGTCTGTGACGGCGATGAGGAAAACTCTGAGCGGATGTGGAGTGAGAAGAAGAGACAGCGGGGAGCTAGAAGAACAGGGAGGAGGTGAAGAAGTTGCAGATGAGATAGGAAGATGCCTGCATGCAAGGCAAGGAGGGGGGGCAAGGGGAGGGAGGAGGAGGAGGAGAACAAGAAAGAAACAATCAATCAGGAGAGACAGCAGGGTCACAGGAAGGAAAGACTTCGAGATGTCGCTCCAAAGGCGGGTAAGTGAAGTTGAAAGATTTCAAACTTACACGCCGCAGAATGCAGGAAATACCGACAAGTCGAAACCATTGAGAACATATGGAAAAGCATTCCTGAAATTCACAACCGTCAAACCCTTTTCTCCTTTACAGCCCAAACCCTTCTCCCTGTCCCTCCCTCCCTGTCCCTCCCTCCCCTCCCCCCTCCCCTTCTCCACTCCCTTTGATCTCTATCCTCCTACCGCCAGCCTCGCAGGAAGGGCTCGGATATGAAGACGATGAAGGGGTAGACGCGTTCCCGCACGAGAGCGGGAGCTTCCGGGAAGAGGAACCCGTTGAAGATGGGGAGGGTTGACCGCATGCTTATGCACAATGCATACCATGTCAAGAAGTTCTCCGCCCCATCCACAAATATCTGCATGCCATGCGTCACCCGCTAACAAGGAGTTTCGCCGATTAAGATCCTCCTGCTCCTCGTCTTCTTCCTCTTCCTCTTCCTCTTCTCTTTCTCCTCCTCCTCTTCGTCCTCTTATCACCCTTGTACTCTTCCTGCCCGTCCCCCTGATCTTGATCCCCTACCTCCTCCCCCCCTCTCCTTTCCCTCAATTCGATCAGCCTTACCTGCTCGAAAAGACCGTGTCCCTGACCCTCCTCAATCTTTGGCGATGATCCTGCCCACCCGATCGCGTCCGCGTCATACCAGTTCACATCAGGGATCGCAAATGCCAAACGCGATGCTCCTCGGCCATGGCTGATCCCGAAAGGATGTCTTTCTCCTATCCTCGAGTTGGACGCCAGGACGTACGCAGCCGCAATGCCAGGAGGACTCAAGTGCATGCCGGTGTAAGGAGTTACCTGCAACCTGACCTTCAACACGAAGACAGCGATGACATCGAGAGGATGAACAGAGCCTCCTTATTCTCATCGATGCCCTTCCTATCGCGTTGCTCCTGATCCTCTAATATTTCTATCAACCTCTGTTCACTCATCTGCCTTGTCCGGATGTTTCAGCAGTCCTATCGCCGACTACATTGCTTCGGCTTCGCTCATGCTTCTCGCTTCTCTTCTTCTATCTATCACTTCTTTATCTTCTCCCTTTCTTTCTAATTCCATCTCCTCTCCTCTCCTCTCCTCTCCTCTCCTCTACTCTCCTCTCCTCTCCTCTCCTCTCCTCTCCTCTCCTCTCCTCTCCTCTCCTCTCATCATCTCGTCCCTCTCCTCCCCTCCCCTCTTGCGCCCCCTCTCCTCCTCCCCCTTCCTTTCCCCTTCCCTCTTCTTCCCCCATCCTCTCCTCCTCTCCCGCCTTCATCTTCTCATTCTCTTCATCTCCGTTGTGCCTGCCCTGCATGGCCTTGATCTTTTCCCGCCACCCCCGTTTACCATCCCTCACTGCACCCTACCCCCGCAGGCCCTGAAACGTATGCACCCCCTCTCTACCTATGAATAGCTAGTATCTTGCACCGGTGTGGTGGGTACATCAATGACCCCACCTAGTCTTTTCCTAACCCGTCACCTACCCCACCATGGTCTGCAGACTATGCGACCGAAAACTTTTCCCCATTCCTGTCACCCCCACCCCCTTCAATGCTCACCCCACCCCCACATAAGACTTCATACCCCCAGGATTTCGATCATCTCTATTCCTGTACCCCACCATAGCCCTTCTTCTTCATATCTTTGACCACCACACTTTGCGCTTTCCTACCACCCCATTCAATATCTTTGAACAGTACCCGTATATTGTATCAAGACACCCCTGTATGAGTACCCCTCACCCCCCTTTTCTACATCAGGCACTTCCATGGTTGTACCTCATCAAATCCTTGAGCCCCAGTCAGGAATTTCCCCCTCCCTCCCCCCCCCTTCCCCCTCCCTCCTCATCCTCCTCCTCGCTCCTGCTCGCATCCTTCCTCTCGGAGTGTCGCTTCATTCTCACCCATTCCATCATCTCCTTCCTTCATCTCCCTGTATTTCGCGGCTGCTAGTTTTGTGTACTACAACACTATCATGTCAGTTTTATTTACAACACTATCATATCATGTCCCGACGATGAATGCATGGCAAAGTTTTCATGTGTTGGGTAGATGTTTACGTCGAGATGGTGTATTGTGAAGTAAAATACTGTTGAGGCACCATATTATTCATTCGACTTTACAGCTTTACAATTACAATAAGAACAGGCTGATGCTACCGTGGCAAGACAGGGTTGAGCTTCCAGCTTTCAGCCGTGGCTTCCAGGTTCCTTCACCACAAGTCAGCGACGAGCGAAGGCAGGCAGCAGAAGCACCGATCATGCCCGTCCAGGCTCGCAATGACGGACCGGTAATGGCGGACGGCAGCGTTGTAAGCTGCCGCTGAAAGGAGGCGTGAGAAGGCAGACTGACCGTCTGATCTCGTCCTACCTGCTTCCTCTGGAGTATCGTAGACGCCAAGGAACTTGATGCTCTCCTGCAGCTGGATCTTCGCTGCCCACGCGCCGGACGAGTCCTCGAATTCGACGCCTTGGTAAGTGACCTGAGGGCAGCAGTGAGGAGAACAGGGGGCAGCGAGCATGTCGGCCTGCCTTGGGCCTCTGAGCCGGATGCGTCAACTCAAGCATGGGAGGCTCTTTCTTGACGACCTTGTCCTGGTGGTAACTTGAGAGGCGGCTGGTAGCATAGGAGAGAGGACTCACAGGCAAGGGGGCCTCAGCGTCGGCGACTTTTCTGCGGAGGAGGATAAGAGGAGGATGCGGCAAGAGCCTCTCCGCCCACCCACCTGAGGTTCCAGAACTTGATGCTCGGGGGCGCCATGCCGAGCACTTCGATGTCGGGATCGGGGAGGGTCGTGCTGAACTTGGTGCCCTCGTCGAGCTTGATCTTGTAGCGCTTGTCCTGCTCGTTGCAGCCGACGATGGTGCCGGGGTAGAAAGCCCCGTCATCATACAAGACCCTGAGGCGCATGCCGTTGGTGTACTGGATGGAAGGCTGGGCTGCAGATTTCCCTCTGCTGGACCCTGTGGCGGACGAGTGGTGATGAGGAGCGGAGGCTGCGGGGAGAGTCAGCGATGACGGGGGCGGAAAAGGGAGGACAGACAGGATGCAGCGACTCCCTTGGGCGACAGCGCAGACGGGATAATCTGCGCAGCAGGATCAGTGGGGGAGGAGAGCAGGAGACTGAGCTACGGGGGAGAAGGGGAGAAGAAGACTGAGCAAGGTGGCAGACGGGGAGAGGAGGAGGGAGGGGTGTATCCATACTTCAATGTCCGGGTCCGGAAGGGGGGTCGTGAACCTTGTGTCGTCATCTAGCCGAATGGAGAACTGCCAGCCTGTCAGTCCCCTGGGTCGCATCGATCGCTGCCCTCCAAACCTCGTTCGACTTGTCGTCGTATGACAGGATGGCCCCATCGTACCAGATCCCGTCGTCGTAGAGCACTCTGACCCTCGAGTTCACGTACCGCAACGGGTTCGACAGCGCGTTTGCGCTCTCTTTACTCCCCTGGAAGTTGACCTTCGCCTTGTCTCCCTGGCACTCTTGCTCAGCACCCTGCTGGCACCGACTTCAAGTCCGTCTCACCTGGTACTTGATCGCTGCCTCGTCATACGCTTTGGCCGCGTCCTCCGCGTTGTCGTACTGCCCCAACTTGATCGTCTGCCCCTGTCGCTTGATCTCCGCCAGCCAGTATCGGTCTCGCTTCCTCACACCGATGTACCCCTTGTCCTCTGGGGCCGCCACCTCCGCTGCTCCCTCAGCTGCTGTGTTCCTGACTGGCTCACTCACGACCTCGTCCCCCTCGACTAGCTGGATGTCAGGGTCGGGCAAGGTAGTCGACAGCTGGGTCTCCCCGTCGTCTAGCGTGATGTGGTATGTCTCGTCGGCAGGCTTTCCCTTCTCCCTCTCAATGAACTCGCGGCCCGTGATAGCCCCGGGGTACCACCAGCCGTCGTCGTAGAGGACGCGGAGACGCTGGCCAATGGGGTGCTGGAAGCTCCTGGCCGGAGTCGTCGAGCTCCTTGTCTCGCGTGACTTGGTCGGCTTGCTGGCCTTCAGCTGCCCCTCTTGCTGGGCCTTCTTCGCCTCCTGCCCACCCTGAGGCTCGCCCTTGGCCTTCTCTCCCCTCCCTTCCTGGGGCGGGTTGCTGCTTCCTTCCACCCTCGGGGAGTCAAGCTTGTCCTCCTTCACCCCCTTCCCGCCATCTTTGTCCTTCCCCGTCTCCCTGTTCGAGTCCACCGACTGCGACCGGCGGTTTGGCCGCGTCTCCCTCGCAGGGACAGGGGTCGAGGCACCCGACGGCGCGTTCGCCAAGCCAGCAGCCGCTCCCTTCCCTCCTCGATCGATCTCAACCGTCGGGTGGCTCTCCTTCTCCTCCCCAACATTCTCAGAGCCGCTCGCCTCGACCGGCTTTTCCGGCCCCATAGACTCGTCGGCGTCCGCGGGCTTTTCCTTCCCTTCGCTTTTCGCTCCCTTACGTTTTCCTTTCGCCACCTTCGCCTTGGACGTCTTCTTCTCGGCTTCAGGCTTCTGCTGCTCCTGCCCAGCATCCAAAAGCACCTCTGCATCTTCTCGCGCATCGACTGGCAGTTCCTCCCCATCCTCCAGCAGCATTCTCAGCTCTCCCTTCGCCGACTTCGCACTGGCGCCCTCCTCGTGCCGGACAAGTTTCCCCTTGACCCAACGTGCCTCCTTCCAGCATCTCACAGTCTTCCCAACGTTCTCCGAGGCTCCTGACTCGCTCAAGAACTTCTTCATCGGCATCCAGACTCCTTCGCTCTGCTCCTGGTCTGCCTCCGCCTTTCCTGCAATAGCAGCCGCCGCTTCCTTGTCAGCCTCCTTCACCCCCTTGCCCTCCGCGCGGTTTCCCCCCTTTCCTTCCCCGCCGCTTGCTCCCCTGCCTTCTGTACCTGCCTCCTTCCCTTCCCCGCTGCCTCCGTCTTTTCCCTCTACAGCGTTTCCTGCTTTCCCTTCTGCACTAGTTGCTACTTTAGGCTCTGTGCGGCTTGCCCCCTTCGCATACCCCTTCGGATCCCCCTTCCCTTCCCCCTTCCCTTCTGCACTTCCTTTGGCCTCTGATCCCCTTGGCGTCTTGGGCTCTGAACTGCTTCCTCGCTTTCCCTCTGCTCCCCTAGGGGTGACAGCGGGTTCCGCACTGCCTTCTCCCTTCGCCTCGGACCCTTGCGATCCTTTCCTGTCACTGCCCCTCTGGTTCTTCACTTCCGAACCGGCTCCTCCCTTTCTCTCTGTTCCCCGTGGCGTCTTCACCTCTGCACTGCTCACCCCTTCCCGTCCACAGCGCTGGGCCCTTTCTCTTCACCGGCGGTTGGACCTTTGCCTTCGGATCCTCTCGGAGACTTTGCCTCGGCTCCTTTTGCCTTTTTTGCTTCGTTCGCGCTCCTCTGGCTGGCGCTTTCCCTCTTAGCAGGAAGGGATCCAGCGGGTTTGTTCCCCTCCTGCGTTGAGCTTGTTGCTTCCTCTTCTACTTTCACCGCAGAACTTGCACGTTCCTCCACCTTGTGCTCTTCTTTCTCCTTGGTCTTCTTCTCTGCCTTCACTTCCTTGCTCTTTTCTGCCACCTCCTCGGCTACAGCAGGCTGATCATCATGACTCTCTACAGCACTTTTCACTTTCTTCTTCCCCTTACTTCCTTTCGTCGACGCGTCTGCAGTCTTGGCGCTCTCCTTCTTCCCTTCCACCAGCGCGACCGCGGGGGCCTCCGGCTGGGGAGGGACGGAAGAAGGGTTCTCCTGACCGGACAGACTCAGCAGAGGGGCTGAAACGCTCCCTCGAGCGGGGGTGACGCTGGTCAGGTTGGGGCTCTTGTTTTCGAGCTTGAACTTCTTCTTCCTGTTCTTCGAGTGCGACAGCAACGGCCCTGCAAGACACTCAGGTCCCGTCCCTGGCAAGGCAGCAGGGGGTCGAACCTGATCGTCTCTTCTTCGATCTGTGGACAGGGTCCTTGGGAAGCGCCTCCGGTGCTGAGCTGGTGGCAAAATTGGACGCCTCCCCCTCTGGCTGCACAGGAGCGCCGTCCTTCTTTTTTCCCGGCTTTTCGTTCGGCGTTTCGTTCTTATCAACCTCAAGCGCTGTTGCACTCGCCTTTGACCTTCCGCCTGCTCTACCTGTCAGATTATCGTTTGCCCCATTTCAAGTCTGACCTCGCCCGGTCTGCGATTGCCCGGCCTGTTTGACTTTCACGTCGTCAAGCGAGAGCTCCTCGCCGACGGGCAGCCGCTTTCGAGCTTTATTCTGTTTGCCATCCTCTACCTTTCAAGGCGTAAGCAAGAACATCCAATAAGGGAAGCAAGTACCTCAGTCTGAACGGCATCTGCCTTCCTGCTCCAAGTGAAGTCAGTCAAACTGCCCTGCAAGCCGAAGTTGACTTGCCAATGGCCGTGATGGCCGCCTCGCGTTGATCGCTGAGGAGCAGAGCTCGGAGACTTCTGGGGCGTGGGTTCGCTTTTCTTGGCGTGAGCATGTGGCTTGTTGCTGCTCAGAACAGTCATGAAACGAGAGGAAAGGATCATGCGGAATTACTGGACGTGCATTTCTTCTCCCGGCATGTATCTTTCAACCTGGTCCAAGGGGATCAGGACAAGCAACAAGCTCGACATCGGCAAGGGGGAACCCACCTGATGGGGGACCCGACGGTGCTTGAAGTTGCCAGCCCGTCCTGCGCGGACAGGCTGCGTCCCCTTGCGCATGCCAACAGCTCCTGATCACATGAGATCAGAATGACGACACCTGGGAGCGACTTCTCTGACCTGTCTCAAGGATCTCGACGTCTACGTCTGGTAAGGCCACAAAGATCCTGAAACCACCAGCCTGTCAGCCGCCACTGCCGGGCCCGACGGAGCGGCACCTGTCCCCTTCATCGAGCGAGATTCGATACTTCCCCGTCGGCTCATGGAAGTCATCGATGCTCCCATAGTACCAGAACCCATCGGAGTAGCACACGCGCACGCGTGTCCCCCCTGCAAAAGTGTCGTCCTCGGACATCCCTACATGCCGCTATCAGCTCCGCTTCTCGCACAGGGAATTTGCCGCTGAGTCCCCACCGAGCAATAGAACGTGGGGGGATTGATGGCAAAAACAAGCAAATGGCAGGAAAAGGATCCGGAAGAGAGGAGAGTGGAGGGGGGGGGGGGGGGGTTGTGCAGGGGAATTATATCAGAACATCAGGAATGCCCTTCAAAAGCTGATGATTACATGACCTTTCCTTTCCCTCTTCTCTCTCCCTTTAATCATTTGACAAATTCATCTCTCTGATTAGACTATTATCTTCATTGTCTCTTCATACTGATCTCATGGGTTTTCTCACTCTTGCATGATGTAGCTGCTCGCAACGCTCTCTTGCCCTCTCCACTGCTCTAATCGCTGCTGCTGCTATGCCCTGCTGCGCTCTCCTTGCCTCTAACGCCCTTCCCTCTGTGCTTCACATGTCTCTCAACCTTTGTCTCGCATCTACTCTGTCAACGCCTCCTCCCCTCTCATTCACCTCCCTCCCCTCCTCCTCCAGCTCCTCCTCCTCGCCTTCTCCTCCCCCCGATCTCCATGATCGTATTTTAGTCAAATGTCACAACTCAGGTATAACAGTTTTACTCATCATAGGCTGGTCTACTGGCAATCGAGGACAGCGAATCTATCCTAGTGAAACCTGACTCGGAGCGCGGCCTGTCCGACCGTACGGTCGAAGCCTAAAGTTCAATCATTGCCGCCGCCCGCCGGGCGCTGCCGCCAGGGCCGGGGGCCCGGGGGCCGCAGGGGCACCGTGAGGCTGTGCCATGATCGCCAGCCATTTTATTGAAATAGCACAAGGCCGCGAGATCGGTTCAATTATCATATCATAATACACGCTACAGCAGCGGGCGGTCCGGCGGCTGGCCCCAGACGGAACAGTGAACCGTGGCCACCGCCGGTCCGACCTGCGAGGCTCGGACTGCAGCCGTGGACCTCACTGCGGCAAGGTCTCCGGCGCATGCCCTCAAGCACCGTGGCACCCGCCGCGCTGGGGTTGTAACTTAGTAAACTTGGCACTATCTTATTGCGGAGCGCCTTGCCACTGAGGTTGAGCATGACTCAATGAGACGGTGGTCTGAGTAGGTTGAGAGTTGAGTTGAGCCCCCAAGGCTCAAAGATGGTCGTGTTCTCATTGTAGACGAAGCAGTAGGAGTCATTGACAACCTTGGAAAGCTCAAGAGCACATGAGTGAAGCTTCTGACATACCCACACCTGATGAGACTCCGTCATCAACTGCCCCATCCCTCCCGTGGTGAAGCTGCCGTCGTTGCGAGTCAAGTGACCGATGATCTCTCCCCATGTCTGTGTCAGCTCACACTTGCCTCCTCCTGCGATGCTCGACTCGAACTGCCGCAGCAGAGCGCGAGGAGGACCGAACCCCGCAACCGTGTAGTACTCGACGACTTGTTCCTCCCCTGCTGCAAGGCTTCCGACATCGAACGTGATGTAAATCATCCCATCCTGGATCTCGTACATGGAGTTGAGAGCGTTGTCATATACATGTGGATCGTAGATGCTCAGACCCCAGTTTCCCGTGAACAACCTTGCACGATCATCTGTCGTGTAGTAGAAGACAACAGCGGTCTTGTTTCCGCTCACGTCCAAATAAGGGTCGTCGGCCCCGTAGCTCTCGGCGGAGATCGCGCTGCATGGCTGGCCAAGACCTCGGCTGCAGAGAATCTCATTGATGGTGGTGAAGCTTCCTCCCATGTCAACCGTGTTGTCAGGGTCCGCGTACCGCATGTACCTCACGTCATCCAGCGTGTTGGAGCCCGTGTTCTTGAGTTTGGCTCTCGTGAGGAAATAGAAGTCTTGGGGTTGAAAGCTGGTCTCTATCTCAACCGAAAGATCCCCCAGCATAGCGACTGTCACCGCCGACAGGTATGGATCCTTGGACGCGTTGTAAACAAAATGCCCGAAATTGTCTCCTTCGTGCACAGTACCGTTCCCAGACAGTCTGTACCCGGCACGGAAGCCTGGTGTTGGGCATGGTCACTCACTGCAGCAAGCCGAGCATGGCAGCTAGGCAAGAGGGCGACATACCTTCCGCAGGTGATCCAGGCAGGAAGTAATCGATCCGCAGGTCTGCTCCCTCTCCGAAGCCATCGGCATCCCCGAGAAGACTCATCCCTCCTGCCCATGCTCCTGCGGAGAGATCATGTCAGAGAGCTCAAAGTGCACAACAAGGCGCGTGAACGGGCTTACCTTGTCGGGTGTACAAGTCAGCAGGTTGCACATCGGTTCCTAGCTTTCCTGTAGGCCTGAACCCTAGCTGGATGTACTTGCCGCCAAGGAAAGCATCTTCTTGAAACATCTCACTCTTTCCCTCATACAGCGCATCTGACGGCGACAGTCCTGTCATGCACAGCAGCACGAGGACTGAGAGATGTCTGGTGCCTGCTCCTCTCATCGTTCGCAAGATTCTGGTAGCTGGGCGGGGCTCTCCTGAAGTTTCTTTGTACCTTATGAAAGCATGTTTGTACCATCTTTTCAGGTGAACGGTACACATGGGCATCTTATTTTGAGCCAAGAGAAAAAATTCATGGTACAGAAGTTTTACATCTCATACAGAAGATAGCAGTACTGAGTCAGCTGGAACCTTACCCTAAAAGGTTTGCTAGTTTAGGACTACCCCGCTCGATGACCAACTTTGCACCGTTGGACTACCCCCCTTGATGACCAACTTTGCACCGTTGGACTACCCCCCTTGATGACCAACTTTGCACCGTTGGACTACCCCCCTTGACTCAGTGATGACCAACTTTGCACCGTTGGACTACCCCCCTTGATGAGCAACTTTACACTGGACTACCCCCATTGATAACCAACTTTGCACCGTTGGACTACCCCCCTTGATGAGCAACGTTGCACCGCTGGACTACCCCCCTTGATGAGCAACTTTGCACTGGACTACCCCCCTTGATGAGCAACTTTGCACTGGACTACCCCCCTTGATGACCAACACAACTTTGCACTGGACTACCCCCATTGATGACCAACTTTGCACTGGTGATAGCTTCCTTCTGACTGGACACCGGTGACCTCTATCCCGGTCAAGTTAAGTTAAAAATCAGTATGAGGACAATGACCGGTGACTGAGGCGACGAGCCCCGGTGAGTCACTGCGTCACGTTCTCCCTCTTCATCACCTGTGCCCGCGTATGTATGGCTTGAATGCGACCGTGACGCCGGCCCACCGTTACGATGCTGCCTCCGAGTGCAGCGGCTGAGCGGCTGCCGGCAGGGAAGAACGGTTCGGCCAGGCTTGTAAGAACTTTCAAGACATGTTCTCTACTTTAGCATTCTAACGGGCTCGAGGTTGCAAGTTGAATGCGGCAGAAGCGACGAGGAAAGGATCAGATGACCAGAGGAACCATCCCGGAGTCGGGGTGTGTTGGCCCCTGGTGAATGCTACTGATCATAGTATAAGTTTGGGGTCTCCCCAAGTCCTCAAATCTCGTCTTTCTACCTGTCTTCCTCCCTCTAAGTTCTTCCCCCCTACTCTTCTCTCGCTCAGAGTCTTTCTTTCTCTTTTCTCGGAAGTCTATTACCGTAGTACCAAGCTGCACACCGGGCCGTCGGTGACACTACAGTCAGTTCGCTACCGTAGTACCGTCACGTGCGACGGTACAGCGTTCGTTGAACGCCGGGTTCTCTCTATCACATGATGCCGGTCACCGGATTGGTCTGTGTTGACAATACTTGAAGTGTTGATGGTCAATGGAAGGTTGGTCTGAGAAGGCCCAGTGAACTTGTGAACAATGTGTCCGAGGCTGGTTGAGGCCCGGCGGGCCGCCAGTCACCGCGGTCACTGTCAGTACTGAGCGCACCGCCCCTCATACCGCACCGTGGCCTTCGCTGTTTCACCAGTAGAAACAGTGGTGGCAAGAAAGGACAGAATTCTGTCTCATGCATCCGTTGAGTTTCTACAAGTTTGCAGAGGGAAGACTTTCTACCAAAACTTGAGAGCATGTTGTCAAGTTGTGATGATCGTTGTAATTTGATTGATCGATTCCAAGTATGACAAAGAAAGTTTGCAGCCCGCAGTAATGCTGCACCTGCGGCGGTGCCACTTAGAGCACGAATCATTGAATTCGCTCAATCGATTCTTTCGTAATTATCCTTGTGCACTGGACTCTATCGCTCACTGGCAGGCTCGGGCGGCTCCGGCCGAACTATCAGACTTAGCCTCGTTGTTCTCTCCCGCGTCTGCTGATACGTCGTCGAAAAAGCGTACCTTCTTGTTGAAAATCTGTGCAACCTCACTGAAAAACCTGACCTCCACGTCAGCCGTCTTGGAAGATAGATACACAAACGCCCCCGATGGCCCGTGAATGCCGTCAGAGAGCTGCCCGTACAACATATTGTCCAGATTGCCACGGTAGGTGGGTATCGCAAGGTCCTCGGGTAACCCGATCTCTTTCCATACTGCACTTCGGAAGCTTTCCTGGCTCTCCAAGAGCCAATATATGTTACTCATAGAAATCTGTCTTCGCTTGATGAGACTCCAATACTTCTGCGGCAACTTTTGCGACACAGATTGGACCGCCTCGTTCTGATAGCATTGAGCAATATCAACCACTTCCCTAAACAGCACCTCAAGCAGATACCTATGTTGGCAACATTATTATGCATATTTCAAACAACTTTCAAATGCACACCTTCGAGTGTGGTGGGACAGCTGACGCTTGTAGTGATTAGCAATGTCCCTTTGATCCCTCTTCATGTCCTTCAGCAGCAGCTCCTTCTCCTTCTCCTTCTCCTTCAGCAGCAGCTCCTTCTCCTTCTCCTTGTCCTGCAGCAGCACCTCCTTCTCCATCTCCTGCATGCACAACGCAACGAGATAAGTGCTCGAATCCGGAATTGTACGCTCCAGAAGCTTGCACGCCTTCCGGACATATCTTAAAACGCTATCGGAAGGACCAGTCCATGCGGTGAACGTTCGTACTTGCACGCAAGCGGCTGGGAAGCGTGGTAGCATTCGGAGTAGGAGCCGGCGATCTCCGGGCCCCCCATCATGCTCGCAGCAGACAAAACAGACCAGCGGGACTGGGGAGCGGCAAAGCCTAGACTGGCGGGCAGACACCATCTTGTAGGGTTCATTCCAAGTGCCTCGCGAGTGTCCCGGCAGCGGCTTGAAGGTCAAGCTGAGTGACAGTGACAGTGAAAACGAAGGGGAGGCTACTGTGTTGGCGCCTCTCGTCGGAACCGTCCGCGGTCCCGAACTTGCCCCCGTTAGTGGTAGGAGAGCCTTTTTCAGCCCCTCATACAGTCACCCTGAGTACCTTTGAAAGTTATGGCCTTCCCGACATCATGCCGCAGTGTCCGACGGTCCCGACATACCGTACAGTACCGTCAGTGTACTATCATCGCGGGGTCATGACCATCATTGTCACGGTACCACGGGGATGCGGCCGCCGGGCCCCAGCCTGACTCGCTACCGTACGCCGGTGGCGCTGAGGCGGCCAGACTGACTCAAGCTCCACCGTGACGGGGCCGGCGCCGCCCAGGCCGCTCGCCCCGCGAGGGGCCTCCGATTCCGAAGTTCGGAGGAATTTACCGTACTGTCCGTCGGAAAGAGGCCGGGCGGCGTTCGACAGGCAGCGGCCGGAGGCAGGAGCGGCAGTGTTGGTTGGCAGCGGCCGCAAAGTGACAAGCGGGGGCCCGGCCGCCTGAGGCCCTGTGCCGGGCCCGGCGGCCGCCTTCCGAAGTTCAAGGGCCCACTGCTTCCGGACTACGGAGCTGTTTTTAAAATATTTACTCAACCACAGGAGAGGATGCAGGCGGAGCAGGCTGGTGGTGGTGACTGGGGGTCAGGTCGATACTGAGAGCGAGCGAGGAGAGCTGAAGGAGAGCTGAAGGAGAGCTGAAGGAGAGCTGAAGGAGAGCTGAAGGAGAGGTGAAGGAGAGCTGAAGGAGAGCTGAAGGAGAGCTGAAGGAGAGCTGAAGGAGAGCTGAAGGAGAGGTGAAGGAGAGGTGAAGGAGAGCTGAAGGAGAGCTGAAGGAGAGCTGAAGGAGAGCTGAAGGAGAGCTGAAGGAGAGGTGAAGGAGAGCTGAAGGAGAGGTGAAGGAGAGCTGAAGGAGAGCTGAAGGAGAGCTGAAGGAGAGCTGAAGGAGAGCTGAAGGAGAGCTGAAGGAGAGGTGAAGGAGAGCTGAAGGAGAGCTGAAGGAGAGCTGAAGGAGAGCTGAAGGAGAGGTGAAGCAGAGCAAGGAGTGGAGGAGGATTATGATTCCGAACCATCGATCAATCCACCCTTCAAGTATCCAGAAGCCGCAGTTCCTCCAGTATTCCTCCCTCTTTCGGTCGGTATCCTCAGGCCACGTCCTCACTGGCCTTCAGGCGCGTCCAGTTCTTGCCAGCTCCGGACTTTCTGTAGCGACCCTCAGGACTATCTGGGACCTCAGCGACCTCTCGCATGATGGCTGCCTCGACCTCCCAGAGTTTGCGATCGCCATGCATCTCGTTGACTGTGTCAAACTAGGATTCCCACTCCCCTCAGCCTTGAGCCATGAACTCATCTCGTCGGCAAGGGCAGGGGGGCTGGATGCTCCAACTTCGCCTTTGCAGCAGCAGCAGCAGCAGCAGCAGCAGCCGCAATCCTATGTGCAGCCGCAATGGCAGCCACAACAGTTTCCTTACATGCAGCATCAGCATCAGCATCAGCATCAGCATCAGAATTCATACATGCATCCACAGCAGCAACAACAAAAGTTCATGGATCATCATCAGCAGCAAGTGTTCATGCAGCAGCAGCAGCAGCCATTCGTGCAGCAGCATCAGCCAGTGGAAGATGACTTCGGTGACTTCGAGGGCCAAGGCGTCGACGATGACTTCGGTGACTTCGAGTCTGCCTTTGTGTCAGCAGAACCTCCACAGCCTGATGTGCAGCCAGAGCCCTCTGTCGACCTTCTGGGCAGTGTGGCTCATGTTCCCTCGCAGGATCCGCCATTAGCGCAAGAGCCTGTCTCTGTCGGGAGTGAGATGATTCCTGCTAGTAGCGATGGCTCACAGGCCCCAACGCCGATCCTTGAAGATCTCTTGTCGCTGGCTGAACCTGCGAAGATAGACACTCCACTCGATAGTCATGGTGCGGTGAGAAGGAACATCGTTACGAAGGCTGTCCACATTCTAGATCTCTTCGCTGAAGAATCGAAGCCGAAGCCGAAGCTGAGGGATCTGATGAAGACCACTCCAACCAAAATGATTGACCCGCAGCAGCACCTACACCAGAAACCCTCCGCTCCTTCCAAGGCGTATGACGTCTTCACCAAGCTCGTGCAGGAAGATCTTGGAATTGTTGATTCGAACGAAGAGACTCCTCCTGCTCAGGATGACGATTTTGGCAACTTTGAGGCTTTCAATGGAGATGACACTCGAGCTGTGAATGATGCTGATGCGGGTGATCAATTCGGCGATTTTGCTTCAGCCTTCGACGAAGAAGCGAACGATGTGCACGAGTCAGGGGCTGCGGGGCAGGGTACAGACCCCTCAAGTGAAAGAAGACATGAAGATCATCGTGTACATGCGCCAGGGACGATGGAGTTCAAGCTCAATCCTGTCCAGTACTTGACTGAGCTCGGATTCGACTCCAAGGCGGCAACGGTCGCACTTGAAAAGTGCGATTGGAACACTGAAGCAGCTGCAAACTTGCTGCTCGCACAAGAGGCAGAGCCGGGCCCGTCGAAAGGAAACGAGTGGATATCCAGTGAAGATGAATTTGGCGACTTCGAGGAATACAATGATAAGGGGGGGAGCGATGCCGACCACCCGTACCCGATGCCTCAGTACATCGACCAGCAGGGTGAAAGATTGTTCGACTGGAGCCTGGCGGAGGATGACAATAACCTGGTTCAAGGACAGCTCTCTGACGTTCTGCCCGACTCTTCAAATGAAGTTTCCTTGATGAAGGGTTGTTACATGTCTCTTTTGCTGCTTGCTGCCTGACTGCCTGTCTTTTCAGGGAACAAAAGTGCATCGGATGTGGTCAAGACTGGCAGGGCAGTCGATCTCTTCCACGATATCCACCAAGGAATAGAGCAGGAGGATAGAAGCAAAACGTTGGCAGGGATATCAGAGGTAGCAGGATACATGGAGACAGCTGAAGACGACTTTGGGGAGTTCGGAGGGTTCGATGGAGAGGAGGCCGAGCCTCCTGGAGCAGCACAGGTATCGGCAGCTGGAGGAGGAGGAGCGGTGGGCATGGAGCTTCTGCAGGACGAGATCAGCAAGCTGTACGGGGAGACAGAGCCGACAAA